TAGTTTTTGGGACCATATTTCTCAGATTGAGGCTACCCCCAGCTGAATCCGTCGAAAAAAAGGTATGTTTATTCAGAAAAATACGTTTTTATGTCTGATTTCGTAACTCAAAATATCGTCTGCACTAATTAATTAGCGTATTTGAGGTTACTTCCTCAAACCTTTAAGATTGAGTCCTAGAACGTGATTATGTCCGATCATTGGATTAAAAAGTATTCAGGATAGTCCATATTTTAATTTTGCGCATTGCACGAGGTGATTTTCAAATGACGTTTTTTATGTTCCGATGATCCCTGTGCAAACTCAACAATCCACACTTCCATAAATCTTTCGGTAAATATAAAAAAAGAAAAAAAAAAAAAAAAAAAAAAAAAAAAAAAAAAAAAANAAAAAAAAAAAAAAAAAAAAAAAAAAAACAGCTTCGCATAATTGCATAAAAACCTTAGATTGTTCTCCTAAATCTTTCTATCTTAATGCGTGGAAATTCAATCTTTAGGTCACAAGTTTGGACAGAAAAACCCCATGATCTAAAATTATATGTATGCAGGGTTATTCATAATTCCCTCGAAGGATAAAAAGAAGACGAATATGAAAAAAAGAAGCATATGAAATTATTCCGAAACTATTCAAGTTTTACTTACATACATTACAAGTGTTCTATGTGTGAACCCTTGATCACACGGCATACATCAATGCGATAGTCCAGTTCCTGTCCGGACGGAATTATGAATAACCCTGTATATAAAAAGCAGATATTTTTGAAAGTTTTGTTTTACGCAGAGTAACTTAAGATAATTGTTATTTTCCCCAAAAATATTTTCTAATTTGAACTAATTTACTCTTAATTGGATATCTAATTGACAAATTGTCTCGTAACCCTTATCAAGTAAGTTCATCTTGAAAAACAATGATTTTAGAAATTTAGTGACTAGGTTGTAATAATGAAATAATAATTTTAGCAGAAATTATTAAATAATTTTACTATGGTATTGTTTTTAAATAATATTAAGTATTTTCAGTACATTTTGTCCCATGCTTTGGTTGGTAAACGTATGAAAATAAAAAAAAAAAAATAAAAAACAATCTTTCTGCAACGCAATTTCTGTAACTTAGTTTAATTTTTCGAATTAGCTTTTGGGTTATTATACTTTTTTTGTTTTTTAAATGTTTCCAGATTTTTCTGATGTAAATAAGATAAAAGCAAATCACGGCAAAATTGTGACTTTTTTGCAAAATCAATTACTCAACAAAACAAAAGCTTGAAGATAAAAAAAAAATTTAAATTTTGAATTTTGCGTTAGAATTCTAAACTTTCGAAGTATGTTTTATTACTTTTTTCGTTAAAGTTCATATATGTAATTCCGAGATAAACAAAATGTTTTTTCCCGCTTTGAAATACTCTTTTTTATATTCCGAAAAGTTCCTTTTTAAAGATTATTGTTAGTTGGACACATTAAATATAATAGTATAAACAAGTAGTAATTTTTTTACTACTTTATATAGTTTGAAGAATATTAATAAAGCAAAATACGTTAAAAAAGTGAAAGTAAGAATGTGGAAAACTTTCGACAGCTCTCCTGAATAAACTATTAGGACTGTATTTTNTATATGTAACATAAAAAGCTTCTATTAATCTTTTTATGTTAGTTTCTTCGCTATAAAACAACTCCTACTTTTATAACTAATTAATTACTCAAATCGAATTGCTTTCTCACACCTTTAATAGCTACATCCTGTTTCTAATTCTATTTTTGGCCCAACTATGCATAAATTTAAATAATACATTTGTCCCATGCTTTGGTTGGTAAATGTATGAAAATAAAAAAAATAAAAAACAAGATTTCTGCAACGCAATTTCTGTAACTTAGTTTAATTCTTCGAATTAGCTTTTGGGTTATTATACTTTTTTTGTTTTTTAAATGTTTCCAGATTTTTCTGATGTAAATAAGATAAAAGCAAATCACGGCAAAATTGTGACTTTCTTGCAAAATCAATTACTCAACAAAACAAAAGCTTGAAGATAAAAAAAAAATTTAAATTTTGAATTTTGCGTTAGAATTCTAAACTTTCGAAGTATGTTTTATTACTTTTTTCGTTAAAGTTCATATATGTAATTCCGAGATAAACAAAATGTTTTTTCCCGCTTTGAAATACTCTTTTTTATATTCCGAAAAGTTCCTTTTTAAAGATTATTGTTAGTTGGACACATTAAATATAATAGTATAAACAAGTAGTAATTTTTTTACTACTTTATATAGTTTGAAGAATATTAATAAAGCAAAATACGTTAAAAAAGTGAAAGTAAGAATGTGGAAAACTTTCGACAGCTCTCCTGAATAAACTATTAGGACTGTATTTTATTGGTTACTATCCCTATTTTGAAGAACAAAAATCTTATTATGAAGGAAAAAATAATGTGTTTAAAAAAGAAGGCACATTGAGTTCAATTTTGTAACTTAGGATGTCGTTTGCACTAAAAATATCGTCACTTATCTGACCTTAAAATATCGTCTGCAGCTACATTGCACTTAAGCGATTAATGTTGCGTGTCGGTACAAGAAAATCCTAATGGTAGATAAAAATGTATCCAGGTGTTCTTTTTTATTTTTTATTTTGAACTGTACCTTAAAGAAATTTTACATAACTTATTTCGGCTTACATTTAAATGCTCTTAAAAAAAAAAATTGCTATGTTGAAGGAATGAAATGACAACATTTGAGAAAAATTCTTTAATGAACAAGAATAAACATCACTGAGATATACATGATATGAAATGAATACTGATATAGCTTTTGGCTCATATATATGGTGAAGTTTATTTTTATTGTAGACACTGAAATCAGCACATTTTGCTCTATTGGCACAATTAATACAGTATGTAGCTCTTGTACTAGTTTTTCGATACATGTACAAGTACAGTTTTATGTTTTAATAATATAAGAAGGTATTGCATTTTTAGCAAAATATAATTCATTATAAGCATAAAGTCATAACTAAGAATGTCTTGATCTCTATGTACACAAATCGTTGAATTTTTAACTGCTTTTAATCTTTCAAAAATAGAATAAGTATAGCAATTATCAGAAGAGTACTACTCATCGATAAATCGCTTAAACGCGATTTTAACGCTTAACATTTTGTATTAATTTACAACAAAATAAGTATATATATATAAATATATATATAAAATATATATATAATGTATACATAAAAGAGACACCAGTGTCCCATTTGCGTCAAAGGGTTCAGGGCTCTTTGCTATGGATTGTCGAAACAAAAGCCCATATTCTAAATTTCAGAATTCAGTTAAATTAACTGATAAATTCTCCTTACTTTTAATATTAATTTAAAGATTTATAAATTCATTTACTTCTTTATATAGTCTTGTACTTGAAGTATGTTGTACGCGTAGGATAAGAAAAATGAAACAAATTAAGCACTGATGCAAACATAAAAATGGATAGTTTTTTAGTTTGGTTATATTAATTGATGCATTACCCTTACTTTCAATATAGATTTAAGGTAAGTTAAATTCACCATATTTTTTTTTATAAGACTTTGTACGTATTTGCATGTTGTACGAGTAGATCAAGAGATAAAAAGGGATTAAGTACTGACGTAGACCTAAGAAATTGGAACCAAATTTGAAATGGAATTGAATTAATGGGACTGAACTCTGCATTTTAGCGTTTGGTTATATTAATTGATGTACTTTCAATATGGATTTAAGGATACTTAAATTCACTTTGCATGCTCTTGTACATATTTGTATATTGTACGTGTAGGACAAGAAAAACAAAACACATTAAGTACTGATGTAAACATGTGAAATTAGAATCAAATTTGAAATAGAATTGGAATAATGCGGTCAAACTCTGCATGCTCGAGTTTGGTTATATTAATTGATGTATTCCCCTTACTTTCAACACAGATGAAATGATATTTAAATTCCTCTTACTTTTTTCTCTAATCTTGTACGTATTTGTATGTTGTACGCGTAGAACAAAAAAACAAAACAAATTAAGTACTGATGTAGACATGAAAAATTAGAATCAAATTTAAAATAGAATCAAATTAATGCTGCCAAACTCTGCATTTTAAAGTTGGGTTATATTTTTTGATATATTCCCCTTATTTTTGTTATAGATTTAAAGATGTTAAATTCCTCTTACTTTCTTATACGATCTAGTAGTTTTATGACAAGAAAAAAAAGACAAATTAAGTACTATAGAGATAAGAAACATGAATCATATTTACATCAATGGAATTGAATTAAAAATCATTTCTCGTTTTTTGAGTCACGAACAAAAATGTTTTGAGATCAAAGTAAAGATTGAAAATAAAGAAAAATGACTAGAAAAGAGATACAGCTATTTTCTAGAGTAATGAAGTATCTCTAAATAGCTTTTGATAAATCTAAATAGCTCTAGATAGAGTTATTTTAGAGATCTGAATAGATCTCTAAAATGACTCTAACTTGCTCAAATAAATAAAACTGAAATGGGAACCAGTTTCTTAACACATTGCATTATTAATATACAATGAAAGATTATTTTACTTGTTTAATTTTGCATATTTAATGAGTTAGCTTTTTATAATTTTATTAACTTACAATAATACATTAAATTCATTTGTTATTTTAATAAATCAAAATTTTTTTATTGTTCAAATATTGCTGCTTTCTTAATTGGATATTAAAATATGCATACAATATAAAAACTCCTTTTGAATTTGCATTTTTAGGCATTTTATTTAGCGGGAGATAATTGTACCATCCATGTGCATTTTGGTTGCATTTTAACTGAGGAATGCATATATATTGCTAATTATTATACTATAAGTATTTTTTAAAAAAATAAATTATACAATTTTTCGTACTGCTTTCAACCCAAATGTAATTTTTTTTTCATAAAAAATTACGAAGGTATAGTAATAAATGCATGGAGTACATCTTAATTTTAATACAAAAACATTTTGAAGGTACGCACAAAAATGCAATGAATTTTTAAATTTAATGCTTTTTATTACTTGATATTATAAACTCTAACTAATAAATAATTATTACAGCTCAGAGCTGAACCAATCATTTCGAGGTCTTATTATGAGTGATGATAAACTAAAACTAGATTAAAGATATCCTTAACGCAAATACGGAAAGTTATCTTTTAACATTTCTGATGATATCTTTAAATCGTAATTTATCTTTAACATTTCATTAACATTCGTAAATCATCTTTAACATTTTTGATGATATCTTTAACACAAAAATTTGCTTGAACTCAACAAAACATATAATTTTTTGAAACATGTAATTTTTAAACATATGATTTAACAAAATAATAATTTTCCTAATTTTTATTTCAAAGAAATATATGAAATTGAAGGAATGAAATTTTTTTTTAATATTAAAGGCAGTAAGCAATATAACGATCGCATCATATTTTTTATTAAATGAAAAAAAGGAAGCATGTAGCGTATTTATGAAATAAATGAATAAAATTTGTGTATTTTTTAAATGAAGGTGTTTACTTTAAAGAAAAATATTAAGGAGCATTCTAGAAATTTAGAAAACATTTTTCTCTTCTCATTTTTACATGTTTTTAAATAAAACATTTTTTTAAGTGCGATAGAGATTCGCATATCTCATTTATGAAATGGAAATTAGATTTATTTAAACCAGATACAAAATATGTGTAATTTAATCTTAAACCACTTTTTTCTTTCGAATTTTTTTTAAAATTCTTACAAAAGATTAGCTTATATAAAAGTTAATAAATTGGCATAAAATTTCAATAGTTATTCTTTAAAATAGTAATTCTACCTAAGTAAACCCTTTCTTAGATTTCCTATTTCGTCAAAACAAAAGTTTAAAATAAATTGAAAAATAACTTTTGTAATGTGTGCAGTAAGTATTTGAGAAAGATTTCGTTCAGCTTTCTTCCAATCCGATTAAAAAGAAAATGATTCCTTAATAACTAGTCAAGGTTATTAATTCAATATAAAATAAAATTTATTTCCTCACTAAATATGTCTAACCATTGACTAATATATGCTAGACAGCTCATCGTGGGTCTCCTGTTGGCTGAAGTTTAGCATTACGTAAATCTGAGCGAAACGCATGACGAAACATTGTTGATTATATGTATGCTAAAGCTACATTGAATTTTGAAGCTAATTATCGGTTGTTAATATTGGCACGATTCGGCTGTAGACGCCATTTAATTATTTATAATACCTATTATTGTTAAGCTTTGTTCGAGATAATATTTTTCAATGTATTTTTGCCAAAACGTTAACCAGTAAATGCTGTTTATTGTTTCTTCGTTGTGGAAATTTTAACGTTATGCGAGGTGTCTATATAATTAGTCTATGGAACTAACACGATCACCACTGCATAGCGCTTTGTTTAGCAAATGTTCAAATATGTGTAATCTGTCGAAAACCCCGCAATGTTTTCTTTAAGGTAATTCCTTATCATCAATTAAATAAATGAGTTAGACTGCAGATTTCATATTTTTTTAGCCAATCTATATTTGAATAATAAATATTTATCCTATTTTTCAAGTAAGCATAAAACAAACTTAATATTTCGTTAAAGTAATTCGTAACACTGATTTTTAGAAAAGTTTCTGCCATTCAAATCTGATGGCATTTAAATTATTTTTAATACCTATCCTTGTAAAGTTTGCTCGAGAAAATATTTTTCAATGTATTTTTGCCAAAGCGATTCATAGTAAATATTGCTTATTATTACTTCTTTGTGAACAATATTAACACTATGTGGAGTATCTTCCTATATTATAAGTCTAAGGATTTAACACGATCAGCACAATATAGTACTTTCTTGAGTTAATGTCTAAATATGCGAGATCTCTCGAAAACCACGCAATGTTTTCTTTAAAGTAATTCCTTATCATCAATTAAATTAATGAGTTAAACTGTAGATTTCATATATTTCTATCTATTTACATCTGAATCCAAAATACTTATTCTAGTTTTTTATTAAACATTAAAAAAGTTAATATTGTGTTAAAGTAATTAACAATACAGATTTTTAATGAAGTTTAGCATTACTCTGACCTAATGCCATTTTGTTTATTTATAATACCTATTATTGTAAAGTTTTGTTCGAATTATCGAGAAAATATTTTAAATGTATTTTTGCCAAAGCGATTATTAGTAAACCTAGCCTATTATTCCGCCTTTGTGGATAATTTTAGCACTATGCAAGATGTCTATAAATCTTATTAGTCTATGGATTTTACACAATCAGCACAGGATAGTACTTTGTTTCAGTAATTGTCTAAATATGCGCTATCAATCGAAATCCACGCAAAATTTTCTATAAAGCAATTAGTAGTCTTAGAAGTGAGTTAAGTACTTCTGCGACATTCAAAGTACCTTCGTATTAATACTGATTGAATAAGGATATAAAAATATAAGTATTTCTTTTTTCACAGCTAAATCTATACTGTTTTAAAAATTGAGTGAAATTTACTTTGCAAATGCTAATCACATTTGCACGAAGCTAAAAATCTTCTGCAACTCAAAGTTATGCAATCAGATTTGTCCAACGGAAATTAAAATCTGTGCGAGTGGCTTTTGATTGTGATATTTATGATTTGACTTCAATATGGATGAAAGGAATTGCGAGGCTTTCGTCAGCATGGCAGCACCACAGAGTCTCCATCGGGGGCCAGTTCATGTGCCGAGGTCTCCAGAACTGTTCTGGCTTCCTCAGCTTCAGTTTTGTACAAGGCCTCTCTAGCCAGATAGCGCTTCCTCATTATCTTCTGTTGAACCGATTTAGGAATGTCTGGTATCATCCAGGCTAAGATGCCTGTCACAAAGAAGACGAGGTGCTGGAAGAAAGAAGTATGGTACTTCTTAATTATGCTAGCATAAAAGTTAAATGAAAGGAGAAGAAAGATGACAATGGTAAAGAATAAATGCATAAAAATTAAATGAAAGAATAGAAGGTTCTGTGTGGGAAATAAGAATAAGGCACTTGCTAATAATGAACATAAAGAAATTAAATTAAAGGAGACGAAGATTGAAAATAAGAAATACGATGCTTCTTAATAAAACTTCCATAAAAATTAAATGAAAGAAGAAAAGATGCTGATTAAAAGAAAGCTGCTGCTTGCTAATAAGTATATACGTAAAAATTAAATGAAAGAAGACGAAGTTCTGGAAAAGATTAATAATTCACTTGCTAATAATGAGCATGAAGAAATTAAAATAAAGGAGACGAAGATTGAAAATAAGAAACATGATGCTTCTTAATAAAACTCCCATTAAAATTAAATGAAAGAAGAAAAGATGTTGGATAAAAGAAAGATGTTGCCTGCTAATAAGTATAAATGTAAAAATTAAATGAAAGAATACAGGGTTCTGGAAAAGAAGAATAAGGCACATGTTAATAATGAACATAAAGAAATTAATCTAAATGAGACGAAGGATGAAAAAAGAATTATGATACTTCGTAAAATTATATACATGGGAATAAAATGAAGGATAAAAAAGGTGCTGAAAAGAAGAAAATGATACTTGTAAATAGTACAAATGTGAAATTAAATATAAAGAGGATATCTAGGAAAAAAGAAATCTGAAATTTCGTTCATTAAAAAAACATACGCATTTAATATAATAAAAAAAGAAATAAAGCACAATGCTGTAGCTAAAAAATAAATACAAAATCTCACAAAGCTTTTTTTAAAAAAAGCATAAGAAGATTAAAAAGACAAGAAATAGGGCTGTTGCTTTTTTAAACGCATTGTAAAAAATCTCGGATCAAATTTCGGTAAAAATTTTAAGGTACTTCATACCGTAAAATCCATTTTTACTGGAACATGTTACGGGACAAAATATCTGATATACTGTAATTTTTACTGTAATAATTACATTAATAAAATCACTGAATAACTCCAATTAAATAAATATTACTGTGAAAATTTCGGCAGAATATTTTACGATAAAAATGAATTTTACGGTAAAATGGATTTTACTGATGATCTATCCAAAGTGACGGTACTTTATACCGTAATTTGATCAGAAAATTTTTTGCAGTACGGATATAAAATTTCAATAAAAGAAATGCTGAAAGTGAGAATAGACAGGGTGCCGGAATAAGATATTTCGTGTCTGTTCAGGAAATAATAAATTGCATGTAGGAAGACTAAAGGAAGCGATAGAGAAGAACTGTATTAATTTATAAACATGCAAAAAAATGAATTGAAAGAAATCCAATTCTGAGACAAAAACACTTTACTTATGAATAAAAAAAGGCACAAAAGTGAAATGAAAAATGGCAAATTGTGTACCTCAAATACGACAACAAAGCTTAATCTTGCAGCAAATATGTGCCAATATCGCATGTTGAGTTCATAAGCACGTGGGTGTTCTGGAGGATTTCGGTAATCTTGATATCTGAAAGAATAAGCAACATTTTTAAATCAAAAACCAACTCTAAGTCCTCATTAATAATAGTTGCCCTACGAGCGTTTCTATTTGTAATCAATTCTCTTTCGTAATTATTTGCATGAGGATGGAGCAAATATTCAGTCCAATAAGATTGATGTGACCATAATCTCCACTTTCGAGTTAAAGGTTGTTTTTTGAATGCTTTTTATTAGTACATAGTTAAAAAATATTTGCAAATTCTACAGGGAAAAAAAAACGTAATTTTTACGGAAATAAAGTGTTTAAAGGTAAATAAAGTTTTTTCTCTCTGCTTTTCCCTGGCGTTGCAAGTAATTCCCGTTCTTTTGCAAACTTTTTTCGTATATTTCACGATTTAAAGCTCTTGCTAGTCAAAACAGTTTTTTTTTCTGTTTTTCACCCTAATCACTAGCGGATTAAAACTGTCAAGTCAAATTCTAGTTTTTGCCAAGCAGTTTTGCTTAATGTACCATAACTTTATCATTTTTCAAATCGTTTTATGATTTTTTTTCTATGCTTGCACTTATTTTTCAGTAATTATTTTATAGTTTTGAAAATCAACCGAATAAAATTGCGATTCGACTTCATTGTCGAATCGATACTATCCCTGATTATTATCTGTCTTTAAATACAATTTTTTCATAAGTTACATTTCCAGACATTTTTATAAATGTCGATCAATATAGCTTTAACCATTTTTTACTCTAAAAATGATTTTAATAAATAAGACTTTTAAGACAAAGACAATTTAAGCTTTTTCCTCCTAGCCAAACACTAATGCTCACCGGGCTTAGGGCACAAAACGCTCGCCTCCTACTGAGGTGAACCTGGGTTCGAATCTCGGAGCCAACTGGTCATGCGAATTCTGTCTTGACTTGTACCGATAATGCTGACCTAATTATTTTATGGAGCTTTTTTTGTTAAAAATACAGAGTTTGTTTGTTAAAATAGCAGAGTGTTTTTGTTTAAAAAACAAGCGTCTACTTCTAAATAACAATATTTTTCTGTGAAGAAAACGGTAGCGTATTATATGACATTTTTATAACTGCCGTGACTTTATTTATGACTATTGAGTAAAGTTTTAACTATATCTTTAAGCAGCCTCTTCTATGCTATTTAGAAAAAATGTCCCTGAATGTCATACTAAGGAAGAAGAGCCTCAGTTTCGAGAAACTAAAAAAAATAATAGTGATCTATTTATTTTTCGTTAATATTTGATAAGTTACTCCAACGCAGCATTGCCTGAGCTCATCAAAATTTGCAAAAATTGAGGATTATTTATCACATAAGCATAATTTTTAGCAAGATGAATTAATCTTGCCGAATTTGAGTTTTTATATAAATTTTCCAATTATTTAATTATCTCATCTATTTATCAGTCTTTGAGGACCATGTCTATAATTATACGCGGATTGTTTTTCTTAATTACGATGGCATTTACTAGCAGGACAATGTGACATGTAATGCAACTTTCAGTGTATTGTGTGGATTTCCAACAGTACCTTAATGAGTTAACTATGTTTTCTTGGCCGTCACCTGGACTCAAACCCAATAGAGGATCCATAAGACCACCTGATTTATCTAGTTGTTTGATCATGAATCATCAATCGCTCAACCTAGCGCAACTGACAACAACAATAATGGAGCCGGCATGACTCCTGTTAGCAACTTACAGAATCTTAGTGGCGCTCTTTTTGCACGTCAAGCAAAGGTTAATCTGAGAAAGGTTTTCGGAAAGGTCATTCTGGCTTTCGGTGGACGCTCACTCACACAAAACTGGACTAAATCCCAATAGAGGATCTGTAAGACCACCTGCTTTATCGAGCTATTTGGTTACAAATCCAGACCGATCAACCTAGCGCAGCTAGTAACAACACTGGAGTCGGCACGACTCCAGACTCATGTCAGAGTCTTTCGGAATTTTAGTGACGCTCTTTCTGGACATCTCGCAAAAGGTGGTTAATCGGTGAAAGGTGGTTATTCTGGGTTTTGACAGGCGGTCACATAGATGAAATTGGACTGAGTATTAAAGAAACAAACTTAAGTTTTCAAAAAAAAAGGGAAAAAAAGAGGAAATCTCTAAAACAAAACTAAATAAAAATGTTAAAAACTTCGTTTTATAAATGGACTAAAAATAAAAGATAACTTTATTTTTGTACTGCGCAAGGTGAAAAAAAAGCTCATTACTTTCGAAAGACGTGGGTGGAATTTTCAGTGATGATAGAGGTTTATTACAAAAATTATACCACCAACGCGTTTGCTTTAGATCTGCCAAAAATAAAATTATTTTCTTCGTTTTAGCCCTCTTAAAAAACGTAGTTTTTAAAAACTTTCTTCTGTTTAATTTTATGATTGTTAATTTTCTTACGATATTAAATTATCTCAACTTCGGTTGACGATAAAAGTTGCTAGCATCGTTCTCGAGACAATTACATTACGCTCATCAATGGAGTCGCGTTCTCTTCACAGATGAGAGTCGTTTTAGTGCTACAAGCGATTCTCAACGCCAGTTGATCTGGAAAGAGAGGTTGGAGCTCGATTTCATCCCAATAACATCTCGGAAAGATATCGTTACGGTGGTCCTGGAGTTGTCGTCTGGGGTGGCATTATGTTAAACGGGGTTGACTGAGCTTCAGATCTTCGACCCAGGTTCTGTAACTGGAGACCGCTACTGCAATGAGGTAATCCTACCCCATGTGCGTCTGTTCCGAGGGGCCATTGGACCAGACTTCATTTTTATGGATGACAATGCCCGGCCACACCGTACTGCTAATGTTCAAGAGCTACTGGAAAGTGAAGATATCACACGAATGGATTGGCCAGCTTACTCTCCAGATCTAAATCCCATAGAGCATGTGTGGGATGCATTAGGGAGACGTCTTGCGACACGACAGTATCCTCCCGGTAACACCCATCAGCTGAAAGATGCGTTAAAGGAGGAATGGAGACGTTTACCCCAAGAACTCCTGGATAATCTGGTGCTTAGCATGGAGAGACGATGCCAAGCAACAATTACAGTAAGGGAAGGGCATATACCATACTAGGGAACATCTACCAGTTGTACTTACGCTTCTTCAGGCAATGATGTGTAACGCCACTATATGTCAAATAAAGCTTTTTTTGTTCCATACCCTACTTTAAGCTTTATTTTCATTACCGCGCCATTATTCTTTTACCATCGTTTAAGTACAAAATAATGTACATCATATTCAAATTTCATGTCAATCGGATGATTTCTTGTAGAGTTATGACAAAAAACGCACTTGTTGCTTAAGTTTTGCACACCAGTGTATATATATATATATATATATTCAATGAGAGGACAATTCATGACAGTTATTAATTTATAATTTTGTTCTGAGAAAATGTATTGATCTGCTTCGCTTAGCTTAAAGTTTTTTTTTAGATTCTTTTGTCACTTTCATTATATTTTCTTTGACAAATCTTTTTTCTTCCATTCTACTTTTATAAATGAAAATAATTCCTTTTAATGGAAGATTTTTCCTAAATAAGTTGGAAAAAACGAAGTTAAAATAAAAGGATGAAATAAATAAGAATAAAAATAACAGCATGTTTTAGTATTCATCCGACCTTTAAAAGACAACTTATATACAAAAAATGTTCACTAATAAATGCAATTAACGAAAAAACAGAGTTGTTTCATTAATGAAAGAAATCCCTTTGGAACTAAAAGAAAAGGTATTTTGAAACGTACATGGTTGCTGTGTTTGCAAAACATTAATTATTATATTTTCCTTTCTTTTTTTTTAACAAAGTAAACCATGTCAGGGTTTTTATCTTGGAAACAAATATTTTTGCATTAATATTCTTGTTTGTAAGCAAAGTAAAATTTGGAAAATAGTTTTATTATTTATTAACCCTTTGACGCAGAGTTTTTATTAAACACATTTTTCATTATTTTGTTTTAATTCAGCTCAAAATAAGTGGAAAATATTATATTTAGTATTTTAATAATCTTTGATAATTCTTCGTTGAAAAGTGAAATCCTTCACACATAAAATCTTTCACATTCAAACAATAATTTTTCAAATTTGCACAAAATAATGTTAGATAAATAGTTATTAATCGTAGAATTTTTTTTATTTACAAAACAAATTATTGATATATTTTAGGATCTGAATGAAAAAAAAATTTTTTTTTTTCAAGCTATTTTTCTTTGGATTTTATATTTTAGTACAAATATATTTCCTATAATCTAGCGGATATTTTTTAGTAAATTTTAAACTGCTTTTTATAATTACAAAAAAAAAAAAAAAAAAAAAAAAAAAAAAAAANATTTTGCTTGCAATCAGAGATTCAGAAAAAATATATATAAAAGTTCCACCAGCGTCAAAGAGTTAAAAGAATGAGAAAATAAAATTCTCTAAACAATTAATCCGGGGAAATATTAGTCTAACATTGCTCTTTCGCTTCAAAGAAGTGATGATTCATAACAGGCACTAGTTTACAATTTTATTTCCGAAAATAGAATTCGGAAATATTAACTACATAAGCTGTATACATTTTCTACCTTTTAAGCAAATATCGACATGTCATACTGGATTAGTGTCCTTGAAGGAATCGTGAATAATTGTTTCTGAGGAGACAGTTCATCAATAATCCTTTCAATATCGATTATTAAGTTATAAATTTGGAAGAAAGCTTTAATAAATGGCAAATCAATTGGATGAGTCAAGGTCGTGTATCTATCATCAGAACCACTTCATCAAACTAGGCTTTCAGAATATTTCACGCAGTTAAATTTGGCAAACATATCTTAAAGAATATCGATTAAACCTATATCGCATCTTTAAGGAAACCCAGTTTCCTCTTTTTAGGAGACCCAGTTTCCTTTTAAAATATAAAATCAAAGGATTTTATTTCGTTTTCGAGACAGCAAATTTAATAAATTTATATTCCCCAATGAGTAGTGTTTGAATAATTTAAAAAATTTGCGTTGTTTTATAGTTGCAATAGTAAATTTCTGA